GTTTGTGGATGACATTGTGATCTGTAGTGAGAGCAGAGAGCAGGTGGAGGAACACCTGGAAAGGTGGAGGTCTGCTCTGGAAAGAAGAGGAATGAAAGTCAGTCGTGGTAAGACAGAATACATGTGTATGAATGAGAGGGAGGGAAGTGGAACAGTGAGGTTACAGGGGGCTGAGGTCAAGAAGGTGCAGGAGTTTAAGTATTTGGGGTCAACAGTCCAGTGTGACGGGGAGTGGGGGAAAGAGGTGAAGAGGCGAGTGCAGGCGGGTTGGAGTGGGTGGACAAAGGTACAAGACAGTAGTGAGACCAGCTATGCTGTATGGGTTAGAGATTGTAGCAGTGAGGAAAAGACAAGAGGCAGAGATGAGGATGTTGAGGTTCTGTTTAGGAGTGACCAGGATGCACAAGATTAGGAATGAGCACATCAGAGGGGCAGCTCAGGTCGGCTGTTTTGGGGACAAGGTCAGAGATTGAGATGGTTTGGATATGTGCAGAGGAGGGATAGTGGTTATATTGGTAGAAGGATGTTGGAGATGGAGCTGCCAGGCAAGAGGTCAAGAGGAAGGCCAAAGAGGAGATATATAGATGTGCTAAAAGAGGACATGAAGTTAATTGGGGTGAGAATAGAGGATGCCGAGGATAGAGTTAGGTGGAAAGAAATGATTCGCTGTGGTGACCCCTGCCGGGAACAGCCAAAAGTAGAAGACTATCATAATGTACATTTCAGCTAATTTCCCTGGAGTTATAATCTGAGCTACTGTGGTGTCAGTCAAAAGCAAACAATCTTATAAAGCACAGCATAACTCTGTAACACCTGGCATTTGTGAAGTTTATGGAGAGCGCTGCTGGTCCATAGTAAACCTTTGCTGGTGTAACTCAGTCATAAACTTCTGTGCATTACATGAAACTAAGGAGTATCTTGTGAGTGAAGCAGGACCAGGTTTTCTCTAAGAGTCATATAAACAGTCACTGAACACTGTTAACATGACAAATTAACTCTACTGTGTAAAGTTAAAGAGCTTGGCTGAAAGCCAGGAATTTATGACTTAAAAGCCTTGGCCATTAAAACTGGTGTGGGATTAGTTTAGCTGGTCTCAGCTAAAACCCAAAGAGTAAGAGGTTATTCATGCTTTGTGCATCCCCATATCCACTAAGGTCAAGTGATGTAATTTTTGTCATCTTCCCAGGTCCGAATGGATCTGCACAGACTCTGTGTGAACATCTGTGTGCAGGCCAAAAACTGTGTTCATGTGGATGGTCCACACAGCAAAAGCCCCAACTACACATGTACCACTATTATGATCCTGTCATGTGTTGTGGCGTTTGTTTCTTATCTAATGTGTCTTGGGTGTTGGAGGATGTCAGAGGTACTGCCCCCTTCTGTAGTTAATTGATTGTGGATGGCATAGTTCTCGCTGACATAAAAAAGAAATTATTTAAATCTCACCTGTGTGGGATCTCATGTGGATCAACAAGCTCTTACGATGCCTGTAAGACTTCCCACATGCTTTACAAGAGTACGGCGTCTCCCCAGTGTGGGTTCGTAAATGAACATGCAAACTTGAGGACGTCATGAATCCTTTCCCACAGGTGTTGCAAACATATGGCCTCTCCCCAGTGTGGGTTCGTAAATGAACATCTAAGTTCGAGGATACCGTGAATCCTTTCCCACATGTCTTGCAAATATATGGTCTCTCACCTGTGTGGGTTCTCATGTGGATCAACAATTCCCGCCGTTGCTTGCAAGACTTCCCACATGTTTTACAAGAATGCAGCTTCTCCCCTGTGTGGATTTTTAAATGAACATTCAAAGATGATGACTGTGTGAATCTTTTCCCACAGGTCTTGCAAACATACGGCCTCTCACCTGTGTGGGTTCGTAAATGAACACCCATATATGATGACCGCTTGAATCGTTTGCCACAAGTGTTGCAAACATGTGGCCTCTCAGCTGAGAGGGTTCTCATGTGGATCAACAAGTTCTGCCATTCCCTGTAAGAGTTTCCACGTCTTTTACAAGAATACGGCTTCTCACCTGTGTGGGATCTTAAATGAGATTTCAAATGTGATGACTGCTTGAATCCTCTCCAACAGGTGCTGCAAACATACGGCCTCTCACCTGTGTGGACTCTCAGATGTCTATTCAAACAGAACTTAGTCTTAAAAACTTTTCCACAGGTGTCACATTTGAAGGACTTTCTATCTGTGGAAGGATCACACTGAGTCTCTGACAGGGGAGAGGTGTCTACATTGCTACTGTGACTTGTGTCTTTGTGACGTCTCCTCTTTGGCTTTGGCTCTGCATTACTAGCTGATCCTGAGTCTCTATGCTGGCTTCCTTCCTGACCCTGGTTCTCAGCTACAGCAGAGCTGTGACAGAGGTGCTGCTGGTCACTGGTTGGTTCTGCTTCACTGTGGTCATTATCCTCATAAGTAGGAGTCAACATAAAGGGATTGGTCTCCTGCTTCAGTCCAAGCTGCTCTCCCTCCTGACTGCTACAGAGTTCCTCCTGTTCCTCTTTAATCTGTGGAGGCTCTGGGTCCTCTTGGTCCAGACTGGAGTTCCTCTCCTGGTTCCAGAGCTGCTGGTCAGCCAGAACCTCCTCCTCCTTACAGACATGTTGCTGTGGCAGCTCTGGAGGGACAAAGGAAGGAACAGGTCACTGATGTGATGAGGAAAAAACAAAAGCAATGTTTCTTATTTGCCTGCTTCTTAGTGGAATTTTTACAGTCTATCTTAAAAGTTTCTGTAGAGGACATTGTTCATGTTGTCATTTTCAAGCTGAACTGAAAATTGTAATGATTAAGATAAAAAATTCAATTAACAGCAACTTCCTCTTTAGACTTCAGAATGAAAGGTTTTGTAATTAATTTATACATTAACAGATTGATGCTGTAACTTCAAATCAGTCACAGTACCATGTTCAGAAGGTTATCCCAAAAAATGCAAGAGGGGAAAAACTGAATTCAGAATAAAAGCAGTCTTCCGGTCAACATGATTTCCCTTTCATACAGTCAGTCTGACAGTAGTAAATGAATAAATAAATAAACAAATAAATGCAGAAATTATTAATTCTAATTTCAGATTGATGTTATAAGGAAACATTCTTTTTTCACAGGACCATTTCACTTCAGAATGATAGTGGACCACCTCAGAGTGTGACTCAGAAAACATCAAGACATTCTGACGTAGCATTTCACAATTAAAGCCCTCTAAATGCCACATAAACATTATATTAATTGTTCAAATTGTTCTAACAGGTAGTTTTTCTGACAAAGTTCACCCCATATCCTATATAATATGAAACTATTAGTCTGTGAAAACAGAAAGTCACCTTTTAGTATCAATCTGAGCTTATAGTTAACATAGCGTTTATATGACATTTGAGGGGGGCTTAAATGTGAAATTCTGCATCAAATTGTTATTGATAATTTTGGAGTCAAGCTCTGAGGTGGCCCACTATGATTCTCATGTAAAATAGTTCTACGAAAACAGAAATGTTCCTTTTAATATCAAAGTGAACTAATAAATATAGCATTTATATGACTTCGTAGAGAGGTGTCATTTTGAAATTCTACATCAGAATATTTTGATAATTCACATATAAGTCACATTAGGAAGTAATCTAATAATATACTGATGTGAAACGGTCCTGTGAAAATAGAAATTTTCCTTTTAATATCAACTGACCTCAGAACTAATAGAGGCTTAATTTATCTATCTATCTATTCCTTCCTTTACAAGAGTCGCACTGACTGAGGGAGTGAATGAAAGTGAAAACACACTCACCGGACGTTCTCCTTTATTCAAAAATCAGCTCTTAATGTGGAGGACGCAGACAAGACGCATCATGGATACCGGTTTGCAGCATATTCCCGTGTTAGTTTTATACCATCATTCGGGCTTTACAGACCTATTATGTGTAGTTTTACTCGTTCCTAAGTTAACCATGCCAGAGGAAAAAAATAAAAATTTGAACAAGAAACTACATTATGCTGAGTCACCGGTGTTAGAGTCTTTGTGTTAGTTTGGTTAACACCTTTCGAGTTTTACAGACCTATTCTGTGTAGCTTTACTTCTGGTTTCCAAACGACAGCCAGCAGTCTGCGCTGACGATCGATCTCTTCCTCGTACTCGACGACAGTTTTCTCAAAGACTCCGAATATTTCTTCAGCAGCAGCAGTTAGTCGCTCGGTGACGAACTCTCTCAGATACTGAACTGAAGACATTGTTGATTTGTTACAGACTAAATATACATCTGCGATAAAAAAAAAAGATAACCGCCTTCAACTAACCCCATTCATCTACAAAGCTATCGCTGCTAGCGCTGTTTACTTCCGCCGGATGTCACACTGTGAAGTTCCGGTTGTTGACGTGGTTCGGACTTTGTTCCCCTTCCAACATACATACTGTACATATTTACAGTACGTACATACACACATAAGTAGTGATGGGTAAACGAGGTGTGGCCTGGCGAAACTGAATCAGCTCAGGACACGACAACGTCTTTCGTGTGGTTCTTTATTCTGAACATAAATAATTGGTGGTGTTCTTTTTTTTTTTTAGGATGTAGAATGAACAAAAAACGAGTATGTGCCAAAAAAATAGAATATCGA